TGTTTGTGTTTCTGTGTGGTGTGTGTGTGTGTGTGTGTGTGCTCAGCCTCATTTGATTTGTGTGGAAAGCGGACAACGTGTGTGTGTCTGTGTGTACAAGCGTCTGGAGACAGAGACGCAGGGTGAGGGATGGACCTCCGTCACACTCCCCCGACTCTCAAAAGACCTACACACACAAATACACACACATGTACACAGCCACCTAGGTCCGCTGTCTCCGTTTCACACAAATCCAATGAGGCAGGGCTCGTCACACAGAGACCAAAACAGCTAGATGTGCATTCCCGGTCTAAAGACAACAACAGGCCACTTTTGTGCCGTCTCTGCTCTGAGCACAGAAGTAAACTTTCACATTTATCCATCAACCTGTGGATCACTTTGTTGCTCGTTGCAGCTATGGCCAGACTTAATTGTTTTTTTTAAAAGTCGTGACAAAAGAGATTTCATGTATGTTTGGATCCAAAGAAAAGCACAAGAATGTGCTACATTTAGCTCATATCTCCACTTTGGGCCTCAGTTGTGGGTGAAATATCAGTACTGTCTTAAACCCTGCATGTTGCAAACACACACACACACACACACCACACACACACATGCATTTTAAATTCTGATCAAGGGCACTGGGTTTCCAAAGATACAAAATGTGTCACGATAAATACACGGAAATTGAAACGCACAAAATAATGCGAAAAACATACAGAATGTTTCTATTTGATGGAATAGTAATGCATTTATTAATACATTTTATACATCAGTACAAGCAAAATAAAAAAAAATGGAGTAAACAACAGGGCAGCAATAAGTTCAGAAATCAGTATTATAAAATAAGATGCAGTGAGTACAGTTAGAGTGAGTAAGCTAGTTTAAAAAGATTCTGGGGGTTCCCCAGTTTGGGTGCAGCACAGGAGGAATCCCTGGCACCCATTGTGCTGCAGTTGCTGAAGGTGCGAGTAGACCTGCTGATGAAGACCACAGGGACTTTCGCTCCCTATGGTCTTCAATTTGAAGGACGTCTGTGAGATAAGCAGTGGATAGGTTATGAAGTGCATGTTGATCTGTTGTGATATAGTTGTAGTAGTAGAAGTAGTAGTACTGTAGTAATTAAAATGACATATTAGGTTTGGATATTTGACTCAATAAAAGTGTGATATATAGCAGCAGATACGGACTATTTAAAGGCAATGTGTGAAATTAATTCAATTTAAAGAGAAACTTCTGATCCCCAGTTTGTTCAAATGCAATGCTCTCATGTAATTTTCAAAATTGATCTTGTTAGAATAGTGTTTGATTTACAAGCACAAAACATTTAAGCAGCACCCCACAATATATTTTCTAGTCTTTTTCTGCAATGCATTCGGTCTCGGACAAAGTGCTGCCACAGCTCCTCATGAGGACAGAAAATGTTTTAGAGAAGTCATGTCAATTTTATTTATACAGCCCAAAATCACAAATGTGCCTCAAAGCTTTTTGCAATCAGTGTGAAAGTCAGTTAATGCAAACTGTAAGTCACAGAATTACCTTAAAAACAATAATAAGATTAAGATAAGATTTCATGTACTAAAAATATTTTAATTGCAACAAGAAGACAAACAAATGTGATGAAAATGTGAAAATGTGTCCCTCTTCTTGGCTACTCCTCATTCATTGCTTATCCTGCAATGTTCTCTATTTCTTGTACTAAGTCTACCCACACACACACACACACACACACACACACACAAACACACACACACACCCCACACACACACACTCACACGGCTCCTAACCCCTAACCCTGTCTGAGCAGAACCTATTGTGCGTGAGACAGAGACTGTGTCTCTACCATGGATGACTGACCGTGTGTGTGTGTGTGTTTTCATCAGGTCCAGTGTCACTGTGCCCAGCAGGCACGACCCACCAAATAGCTCAGTATGACGCTGGACACACACAGACACATACAGTCTATGCATGGTTAGATTTGACAGTGTGAGGTTATTGGCCGCTTGTAATAATGATAATGAGCTGTTTCTATAGCGCCATTCAAAGGAGGTTGCTATGAATCAAGAGATATAAAGTATAGTAAAGTATAGAAAACATAAATAAGTAATAAAATAAAAGACAGAGCCAGGATCAGTTTTAGGCTGTTGCTCATAAACTCACACTGATTTTGCTTCCCTAATATCCTTAAAAATATTAACACGGGGGGGGCATAGATAAAAAAGAGTTGTATCCCTAATTTCCTTATTACCGTGGTTCCGAACCTCTAATAAACCCCACAGTGGGGGGTGTGAGGAAACATGAAGGCTCGTAAAACAACAAGGAGTCGTAAAATATAAGGATTTCTCCTGGTGTTGTATGTATGAAACTAATCCTTAACTTCCCATTAACTCCTCTCTCACTGTGAATGATAGAGAGATAAAGAGACAGTTGCCTTTTTTATTTCCCATTTAAATGCAATCAGTTTTGTAAAAGGAGTGAGAAACTCTCAGAAACAGAACCAGAAACCCTCAAAACAAGTTTTCTACCTTCACAAAATGTCATTGTCCCCAGCCCTCAGTGTCTGACTGAGGGGGTCACGGGGGTCGAATCGCAGGATTGGAGGGTGCCGAGTGCTATGCCTGCTGGGTAGTAAAGTAGAGGACAGGGGAGCAGGAGGTGGGAGGTTGGGGGTCAGGGGGGTGTTTGGGATGCAGGGGTTAACAGAGGTGAGAAGGTAATTGAGATCAGGCAATGTGAGGAGACAGAGCGGTGGCTTTCATTTGTGTGAGGGAGAATCAGGAATAGTTGAGTACAGCGCGTTGATGTGTCGAGGGGATCGGTGCAAACATAAGACAATGCATGATTAGTGACATAGTACATGCACATATCATTCGTGTGTGTGTGTTGAGGAGAGTTGCATTGAATGCTGATTAACTGACGCGGTGAAGCTGCATGGGTGAAGGGCTCCCCCTGCTGCCCCCCACTTTAGCTAGGACCATAAATCTTATACTTCCTGCTCTGTTTTTTTTTTTAAACATACCCATATGTAAAAAAAACAAAAAAAAACATGCCTAGATAATGCCTAGATGTGGCCAAACAATTTGCAAACTTAATGCAAAGAAACTGTGAAAAGTGTGTGTGGAAGTTATGGTCAGATTTTGCAGGATCTAGAACCTAAATGTTGTTTATGTTCATATTTTTGAACGTTTAAGGAGTGCGCCTGTCTAAAATGATTTGAATGAGAGAAATCTGGGGCTCAGTGTCTTGAGAAAAGTATAGCAGAAGAGTGGATCTACCTCGATCTACCGCTACAATTCCACTGAAAGCTACTGACTTTATAGCTAAACTAATAATATGTCATCTTATGGTTTTCTCACATGTATGCTTTAAAATGACTGCTTTCTATGTATGAACTGTGTGGGAAACTGCATTTACAATAGCGCCACATTTCCTCCGCCTTCTATTCTCAGTCAGCTGTTTGTTTTAGTTTGGTGGAGTAGTATTGACAGCAGTGTCAGAGAACAGCGCATATGGAGAAAAAAAAAAAATCTTTTCTTTGTTTTTCTTTGCTTTTCACTTTTTCCTCTTCGGTTATCTATTTTACCGCACATTTTAACAGGAGGGGGTTTTGCACCAGCGCACAATGGTGACAGAAAACCGGAGACAGGAATCTTTCTAGATTTATTGCTGTTATAAAGCTAATTTTAGAGAGAAGTCCCTCAGGAGGTGTAGCAGTGCATGTATAAGTGCACAGCTGGCACATGTGGATCTTACATGTGGTGTCGCTCCTTTCTGCCATTATTCATCTGCCATTTTCCTCCCATTTAATTTGGCAGCAGTAGCTTTGAAGATTTTGGTGCAACAGATAGAAAGAGGTTGTAATGCTTGCATTTTTACCATTTTAAGGCAATTTAACTGCACCAAATCACCTGAACTCCACTAATTAAATGCTTATACTCTTAGTGGCTATCTCCCCAAGCTCTCTCTGTGGCAGAGCTTTGGTTTCGGTTCAGCTTTATTTCATAAGAATTTTATCTTTACATTCTTGTTTCACTGAAATTATACATTCCAATGGCATAATATTGTACCCGTTGTTGACGGGTGAGAGTGGTTACATATGTTTACCACCAGATGGCAGCAGCATAGCAGCAAATATAGCAGACCTACAACACAATCATAAGAGTTTCAGACCAGGCGTCTTAAACTAGTGGCTTACAAGGAGGTCAGATCCAGTCTGCAAGACAATTTCATGAGAATACATTTTTAAGTTCAGCCGTCCGTTTACTATTTTTATTTTTCTACAGTATTTCTACTTTTACAGTGGTCATTTGATTTGATCACTACTAAAATGTCTCTGACCAAACCTAAAATTAGAGTTTCAAGAGAGATTGATGGTTATTTTTTGTAGAGCTTAATGTGACTCGGTGTATATGTGGGAGAAAAACACTGTAAAGACACTATAAGATAGCGATGAAATCATGTCTAACATCTCTGTCTCTTTCTCTGTCTCTCTTCACCAGGCAGTCTATAACCTCGCAAATGTGGCCTGTAAGTGTCACGGCGTCTCAGGTTCCTGCAGTCTGAAGACCTGTTGGCTTCAGCTGGCCGACTTCAGGCGTGTCGGGGAGTTCCTGAAGGAGAAATACGACAGTGCGGCTGCCATGCGCATCGGACGCAAGGTATTGAACTCGCAGCCGAGTGTCATAAAGAAAACACTGAACAATAATCCTAAATCGTACACCAACTGACTCTCTTTCTCTCTCCACTTTGGCCCTACCAGGGCAAGCTGGAGCTGGTAGACAAGCGCTTCAACACCCCAACCCCGGACGACCTGGTCTACATCGACCCCAGCCCCGACTACTGCCTCCGCAACGAGACCACGGGCTCTCTGGGCACGCAGGGGCGCCTCTGCAACAAAACCTCAGAGGGCATGGACGGCTGCGAGCTCATGTGCTGCGGCCGAGGGTACGACCAGTTCAAGACCTACAAGCACGAGCGCTGCCACTGCAAGTTCCACTGGTGCTGCTACGTCAAGTGCAAGCGCTGCACAACACTCGTGGACCAGTTTGTGTGTAAATAGCACTGGAAAGCGGGATGAGAGAGGAGGAGAGGGAGAGGAGATAGAGAGGGAGATGGTGGAGGGTGAGGGATCGGAGAAAAGGAGGATGATCTTTCAGGGTTTTGTTCGGGATAAGTTGAGACACAAAAGTTCTATTTTCTGATCAGTTTCCTTCTCTCCCCCACATATAAACCTCCTGCTTTTTCACATCAACAGCAAAAGCTGCAGCACCTGTGTGGGCATTTTTAGCACAAAGATTTAGAGATAGATAAATAGGGAAAGAACAGATGGATGAAAAGATAGAAAGCAAGGAAGAGTGCGATTTCTTCCGTGCTTTAACAATTCTGATTGTTTTTCTCACTGCTCCATCGTCACTTTCTGCTGTCCTGTATAATATCCTGATCACAACCCTGAAGGAAGGAGGGATGGAAAGAAGGAAGGATGGACAAAGAAGGACATTAAGGATAAATGGACCTAGAAAGAGGAACAACTGGATCCTAAAAGGGGGGCGGACACATGTGACGAGTGTGATAAAGATATGAGAGAAGAAATAAATATATAATTAAATAATAAATAAACATACAACTGTTATTTAAAGAGACTCAAACAAACCTAAGGCACAGTTTGGACCCATGAAACTCAGTCCTTTTGGAGATTGAAGCCATTTGAGTGTTGAATAATGTCACCATGACTCTTTTCAAAGAACTTTTGACCTTTAACCCTGCGAGAGGAACGATTGCATATGTGACTTTCCCTAACGTTGCACAAACAAACTTGCAAGAGAACACCAGGAATGCAGAAAAATGTCCAGACTGAACCAGAGGGATGAGAGCGAGAGGAGGAATCACTTACTGAGGGTCGAGGGAAAAAAAGGGAAAAAGTTCAACTTTGGACAATTATTTTGCAACAAAAACTTAGAAGACAGTTTCACACACCACACAGCTAATTGGGAAACTCAAGCACAGATGTGTCCAGCTGTAGAAAATGCATTTAAAAGTGGAGTTAAAACACTTCAAGTCAAAAAGGACGAATGACTTTCAGGACACACTCTGTCCATTTGTCTCAGTGTAACTACTGCTGTTAGAGCAGATTCCCAGCACCTGTGAGCTGACAAGTGTGTCTGTGCAGGTTAATGAGGCCAGATTGCAGCCATCTTGACAACCGCAGCCATTTAAAACAAGCTGCGACCTTCATCTGACAATGAAGTGAGCAAAACCTCCATTAGTGTGATTAATGTGCTGTATCTGTTTTAATGAACCCGCACTAAGAGACACGTTCACTGCGAGTGGACCTCTTCATCTCATGTTGTTATGCAACTTGTTAAGTCAACAAAAAGCCCTGTGGTGTCGATTTGGCAGTTTTTGCCACCAATTTAACATTTTATAATACTGTTATACCATGAATTTTGCAATTTGTATGGGTTGGGTTGAGAATATTGTAAGCGTATAATGTAATCCAATCGATAGACGCAAACATGAAGAGGACAAGTGGACAGAAGAGGACTGAACATGCTGCGGAAAAAAACTGAATGTGTGAGCGTGGAAAAACAGGACTGCAATTTATTATGTGCTACTTTAAAAAGAAGTAGTAGATCAGAAAAGAAGGTATATTTTATTATTGTTTTTCATTTTCTGTTTTCTATGTTTTATACATGAGTATTATTGTGTATTCTTTTGATAAACTAGTCTTCGACAATGAGGCGTTGTTCTGTTTTTGAGTCAGCTGCAGTTCGTTTCAGAAAGGTCTGAGTCCAGCCAACACTTCACTCACTCTGTTCCCCCGACATCTACAAACAAATCTTTGTCATTTTAGAGGGTGTTTTGGAAAAGGATGCTGCAGGCAATGCAGCACAAGAGACTGAATTACAGTAGTGCCATTCACAACAACAATGCCAAAAGTATAAATGGAATAAAACATTCACAATTAACATGAAAGTAAGCGACACGAATGGAAGAAATTGACTTATTTAGGTCATTATATACTGGGTCACTGGTTAAATGTCTGACAATTTTATTTCACTCATTTTTTACCAAGTTGTAATTTAGATTATTTTTGTATGACATAAACTTTTCAAGGAATTAGGACTCTTGTACTAAACAGGCTTTAACAAGGGAAACAATCCCAAACTGTCACCCATCGAAATTAAATTGTTGTAATAGCGGTGCGAACTAAAGCTAAAACTTTTATTGGAGTCAGCAGAAATGTTAATTAGTGTGAATACACACCTAACACTATCCACTGGAAACTATAATGGAAGTTTATTGGTATTTATGATATGTTTTGGGTGGCTAAAATTTACTTACTCTGGAAGAATCAAAGAATTTGTCCGATCTTCTGTTGTGTATGTTTTCCATACGGATTCAGGCTCAGGAACAATCAAATAATCAAAAAATTACAACTTGTTCATTACATTACATTGAGTTTTGACGTAAGTTTGTTATACTTTCTCAGAATTAGTATGTTTCCATTCTGAGACAGTGAAAATAGTGTGTGCACTTCCCAAATATATTCCATTCAAATTCTTTAGCAGACAGGCCTTAAATCCTCAAACTCATTATTCATGATTAATGAGTGCAGTTTAGCTCAAATTAACTGAAATTACAGAAAAATCACATACCTATCCATGTTGCTCAATCATGATCAGATCAGTATTAACGTACTGACACGAGCAGAATGTTTTCTGTTTAATACTACTTTGTTTTTATATATATATATATATATGTATCGTTTTATCACATAAAAGAGTAAAATATGTATGTTGGTTAAGTTGTTGGTGATTTTTCCCAGTTGATTTATTGGGAGTTTTTTAAAATTGCATCCATTTATTATGATTATTCCTGCTTGTTCTTGTCACTCCTTCTGATTTCATCTTTGTTTTCTCACGCCTCCTCGAGACCTTTGATCCCATCAGATGGACAAACAGCTTGACTCTTCATCTGTTCCACTGATGCCAGGCTGCTTTTAACTCTCCGCGTTTATGTCTCAAACTACATAATTTACGCTGGACTCTTTTGTGGTTACTTAATGGTACTGGCAGTATGACTCTTCTCTATATAGCTCTATAAAACTCTCCAGCAGCTAAACAACCTCTAACAACTTTTAACACGTGCTGTAAATGTCATGCGCACAGTCATGGCTGAGCGGGTCTGTACAGTGACCTAACTAACAATCCCATTACTTTTAGCTGCTCACAGCTAATTCAATTAGACCACTGAGCAGAGCAGCATGACTGACCTACAGTACTGTCTGTGTGTAATCCGCCTCACCTGATACAGGAGTGTGTGTCTGTGTGTGTTTAATGTTCTCATCAGAGACAAAAACTGCTGCTGATGATTATGCCTACAAAGACTAGTATTCATGTATTAATTACATTCAAGCTTTATGTAGGTGTCCAAAGTGTGTGTGCTAACAAGAGCATATGTGTATTTACTGAAGATTAGAGCAGTGAAAGTGTAACCCGGTGCTGTCTCTAATCCTTTTCACCTGACAGCCATCTGCTGCAGTGATGCTGCTAATTTGAAATGCACCTAAAAAAGTCAGCTTTTCTTGCTCTTGTGATAATTTTAAGCACGTGTTTTTGTTCTTATGCACTTACAGTACTGTTTTTGTGTTTTTTTTTTATTACAGTTTCAGCAGAGGAAAGAGTGTGTAACAGGAAAGTTGGCTCTCGCATCAGCGAGTTTTGCTGACACTACCATCAGTCTGTCTGCAGCTTTTGTGCCTTAAGTCAATCTTGTACATTTTGCATCGTTTTAACAAAATACAGTTAAAGCAACGTTATTTAAGAAAGGTTTTCAGGCGGCATAAGATCCCTTATCCCTGAATTAGGATTTCTTCCTGGTTTAAGAGTACCCAAGGGGACACTTGTTAAGTAAGGAATATTGTTGTTTCAGCCACCACTATCACATTGGAGTTTGACTTTTGTCTCTTCAGGCATTTGGTGAGCTGGAGCTGTCCTGCAGCTTTGACATTGTAAACATTTCCCTTATCTCCCTCTCTACAGCTTTGACTCTGCTCCTCCTGAAGACACAGCTAAGCAGCCGAGTGGGGGGGGGGGGGTGAACAGATACATGCAGCCCAACGGGCACTTTAAAAAGGCCAAAAAAGTGTCTCTCTGCACATTGGGATGAAAACTAGCCTGGAACATCAATACAGTGTTCAAGGATGGCATTAGGCTGAGTCCTGATCCCACCCTCCGGTTCCTACCTGCAGGACCTCTGAGTGTTTGACAACCAGCTGTTTAATTATGAGGCCAAATCTGCTTAGTGGCAGGAATTGTTCCTTTGCAAGAATTGCTCATACTATTTATCTTAACATTGCATTTTTGTGCTGTTTTTCTCACTGAGCAATGAGATAATTCCTCAACAACCTGTTCTCTCTGTATGTTAGAGCAGAAGGAGTTGGAAGCTCTGGTTTTGGTTCCTCCAGGACAGCATTCTGGATAAAAAAACAATCTTAAAATAGACAAATGTCCCTCCGCAAATAAAATGAAGCCAAGATCTTCAGTTATACAGGGCATGTTTTTCCTCATAAGAAGCCATTCTGAGTGTAAAAAATCTGTAAGGATGTCAGTGGGCTACAGCAGACACCACCACTGTATTTCACAATGCTGTCTTACTGAGACAAAGCTACTCTTCCTAGTCATACACATACATACATGTGCAAAATGCCAGAGGCAAACTATACAGTGGGATCTTGCATATAGCGTGTGTGTGTACATTCGCCAGCAGCTGCTGTAGTTAAGACATCCGTAGGCGAATTCCCTGATCTGGATGAGTTAAAGTAAAGACGACACAACCTCATTTCTCTCTTCTTCTCTCTCTCTATACATTCATTTTCTGTTGCTGTGTCGACTGCTCTCTGTCTGTCTTTGTCTTTTTTTTTATTCTTCTGTTTTTTTCAAACACACACACACACAGCTCAAACACCAAGTCAAGCACAAATGCTTAACCACTAATCTGTAAGCTAATTCGTCCAAATGCTTTCTACGAGCTTTGGCTGGAGTAGAATGGGCTGTTCAGTCTTGCTAAACCAGAATATCTAATCTTCTTGGGTGTAACTGTAGATTCCGAAAATGCACTGTGAGGTTTAAGTTCATTGCTCACATCAATGCCTTGCTTTATTAACGTCCAACAGGTTACAAATGGTTCTTATTTATCACAACGAAAGCTGCAGACGGCAGCTCGCTGAATGTACATGTTGCATGCATGTATTGGAGCGTTTATCTGCATCACTGGTTTCTGTTGTAATGGTTGTAAATTGGAAACACCTGAAACCAAGAAGCATGCAAATCATGAGCAATGATGTGACACAGACTGCTGCTGCTAGATCAAATGGGACTTGTACTTCCTATTTTCAGAAGTTACATTTTAGGGGTTATTATCCAAAAGGTTTGTTAATGGCTTATTTCTCTCAAAGATTATGCAGTCTGTGGCTGGTAATCAAACAACATTTTAATCGGGTTTGCTTTTCACAACAAAAACAGTTTGCTCATGCAAACTGCAAAATTAAACTGTTAACCATTGTCACCTGCAAATGAAATCCATTACCGGAGCTAACATCAAACCACTTGGAGGAATTCGAGCAGTGACCATGAGAAGTTAATAAAATGTGTGACACCAGAAAGTATGCAAAGAGTCACTCCAGGCCTCATGAAAAATGTATTAGTCATCAGCCGTCACTGAATACCGATGATGAAAACAATATGTACTTGTACACTGTTTTTTTGTTGTTGTGTCTTAAACATAATTAACAGCACGATTAACAATATACAGGGCAGTCTTCTCTGCTTAACTAAAAGTTAAATGCACCCGTGATAAAACTTTCCATGACATGTGATTGAGAGAATGAGGTGTGGTGGGAATTAAACTGTTTACATCATTGTGTTCTTTTCCATCACACCCAGTTTTTGTATGCTTGTATGTGTGTGTAGTAGATAATATGTGGGATCATGTGTGCTAAATTCAGCCTTGTCTGAATGTCATCACTGTAGTTCTATACTGTAGTTGCCACATTGTTAACAGACGGAGCACAGTGACACGTCAAACTTTACTCCTTCATATAATTAGTGTGTGTGAGGACATGCTACAGTTCCCAGTTGCACATTTACATTTCAGTAACACAATTTGTAATACAGTTCTTTCATTAACCATTTAAAATACCCTTAAGTGACAGCACTTGAATGAATAAGCCCTTTTGATTTTCACTGTTTAAAAAGAAATATAAACCTGTTGCCAGGTGTGGTCTACTTGTTGTGACTTGTGTCAGCATCCCAGCAACACAGACAATGTCTTGAACACACACACACACCACTTACACACATCACTGCTAAGCAATGGAAATTTACTTGTCATTGGAAGTAAGTTATGTAAATAAAAAAATAACTAGAGAAGAATTATATGACCTTTGAACATGTTTCTTTGTTGTTATCCTAAATATTACATTTTTAATTTTTTACTTTAGTTTGCATGTATGCAATTTACATAACACACAAATTTTAAACACTTGCAAATGCTGTTGAAAGTCTTTTTCACTCCTCTATTTGAAGAAGGGGTTTATAGGCACAGTGAACACTGTTGATTGAACTCTAACATAATCTTCATACAGTAAAAACAGCCAAGTCTGCTTTGTTCCTCCAGTTACAGCAGCAACAGATTACCTAAAATGGCCACATTACCCAAGGAGAGGCTGGCACA